TGTCTCTTGTAGCTAACAAAGTGAGAAAGAGCCTGTGGCCTAGTGGCTAACATCTCTGCTTAACATGCAGACAGCCCAGGTTCGAATCTCAGAAGGGTATGTCTGGCTGATGAAAACCAAATAAGGTTTGAAATAGCTATCCCAGTTCTCCCTTAATTCTTTGTTAGCAATTCAAATTTTGGAATATATATATATATATGAATGAAATAAATCTCTCTAATATACTGTAGATGTTTAGTTTAGAAAAGCATCGCAAAAACAAGTCAGGCAAGATACATATTTCTCTCCTATCATTCCTTCAAGGTTTTCAGGGGAGATACCCGATTTTCTCCTATCATCCTTTTCATCTAGAAACCATCCTAGAAGGTAAGCTAGGCAGAGCAACAATGACTAATATAAATTGGCCCTAGTCAGTTTCATGGTTAAACAAAACTGTGATTTAAGGTTTCCTGAATTCCTGAGCCAGGAATACTACACCACCACCCTAGGCTCTGAGCTGCACTTACCATTCAACTTACCATGAGTAGGCCTTTATAGGCATAAACGATGCCAAGCCAGATAGTCATGTGAGTGTTTTCACAATGCTCCAAAATGGGAAGAATTGAGATATCTCGGCCTGCAGGGTCAGGCTACAAGGGGATATAAGAGAACAAAAGAGAGTCTGTAGTTGATATTTATTTCTTTAAATCTATAGGTGAGGAAGAAGGCGGCTGTGGCTAGTCTGAAGAGAAAAATCCTGCAAGAAATGGAATTAAGGTGGAATAAGGTTATCAGATTGTCTCACTATTCAAAAATGTACACCATTTGGGGGCATTTTTACTGCAATTCTATAAACACTTAACTGGGAATAAGACCTACTAATAGAATGTATTATTGTTGTTCTATGCACATGTATTATTATTAAGTGCATGCATGTACTGTTATTATTATCAATTTGAATCTATTCTTGCAGGATCAAGGCCTCTTCATTCAAGGTTATGGTCTACTGTGGGTTGGCACGTTTTTGAATGAGGAGCGAGTCATGCAACCACCTTTTGTGCCTTAGGAAGGACCAGAATCAGGGTCTCCCTTCTCCTGTCGTGTTTATATGTTTGTATGTATGTAAAGTATATGCAACAAACATTGTCATACATTTCATTTAATATATTTACAGGTAGTCCTTGAATTACAACTGAAATTAGTACCAGAACTGCCATCACTAAGCGCTGCAGTTGTAAAGTACAACATCATGTGATTGCGTTGCGTAGCAATCAAAATCCAGGCAGTTCTGGTTGTTGTCTTAACTCCAGACGGGTGGTTCATTAGGTGGAAAGTGGAGGGAGTCTGAGGTAAAGAGAGCAGATATGATGTGGAGGTGCTGCAGGGCGGTGGGAAAGCCCTGGGCGGCCTAGGGAGGCTACAAACAAGTTGGTGGAGGAAATGCTGTGATGCAGCACAAGTTCAGAAGGCTAGGGCAGTGATGGCGAACCTTTTAGAGACCAAGTGCCCAAACTGCAACCCAAAACCCACTTATTTATCGCCAGGTGCCAGATGGGCATGGCTGTGGTGGTCATGGCAGATTGGGTGGGAGTGGCCAAGGTGGGCGTGATCACCTCGATGTTGCTTGTGGGGAGGGATGCCTGTGGGGCAGGGTTGAGGGAGATCTAGGGGGTCTCTGCCAGGTGGGGCGGTGAGCAGGAGGCTCGTCCTGCGGGGTGAGGCGAGGCAAGGCGAGGCAGGGCGGGGGTGCCATTGTCACAGGGCAAGATGTGGCAGGGGCAGGGGTGGCTGCTGCCTGACACCATCGACCTCTGCACACAGAGGCCAGCGAGCGCATGGTTTCTGGGATGCATCCAGCCATGTGGGACCTTGGCGAGTTAGCGGGCGGCTGGTTGAAGAGGGATGGTTGCCATCTCCAGGGCATGGCCTGTGTGCCCACAGAGAGGGCTCTGAGTGCCGCCTCTGGCATGTGTGCCATAGGTTCGCCACCACTGGGCTAGAGAAAGAGGGCATGAGGTGTGTGAGAACATAGTATGTGCAAGTAAAGACAAGCCAGAGGTGGGTAAGACTTACCCAAGCAACTTGCAATCTTGCCTACCAGTTTCCCCATTGACTTTGCTTGTGGGAAGCTGGCAGGGAAGATAACAAATGGTAATCACCTGACCGCAGGACATTGCAACCAGTTGTAAGTTTAACCGATTGCCAAGCCCTTGAATTTTGATCATGTGACCACAGGGGCACTGCAACATCCAGAACTTTGAGGACCAGTCATAAGTCCCTTCATTCACAGCCACTGTAACTTCAAATGGTCACTGAATGGATGGTTGTAACTTGAGGACTGCCTCTATTATTAATAAATATTGTGTTTCTAGTCCATTCAGTAGCAGATGCTTTGTATGCTACAATGCTTAAACATTACTAAAAGCATTTAAAACTTATGTTCTTTAATTTCAATATTGGAGAAGGCAATATTTATTATTTTATAATGCTCACAGCAGTTTTATATATGTACATTATCAAGATGAACTCTGCAAGAGTGATCCAAAATACGCCATCTTCAGTCTCAAACACATCAAGCCCCATCAATAATAACAGAGTCATAACAATATATGTAGCTCAGGGTTAAACCTGCGGAGTCCTTGGTGCTCTCTGAGCTTGGTTGTTTGCTTGCAGATGTTTCATTATCTGACTAGATAACACCATCAGTGCCTCTGCTCAACACTGAACAGCACATCAACATTGATCATGTAACCTGGTTGGATAATGAAATGTCTGTTAGCAAACAACTAAGCTCAGAAAACACAAGGACTCCACAGTTTAACCCTGAGCTACATATATTCTCTTTTATTGGAAGTCTTTTATTTTCTTTTTTCATACTCATGAAGGTGAGAGGGTATAGACAGAGAGAAAATGGTTCACCTAAGAGATTGTAGCCTGACTGTTGGGGTGAGTGGGTAGGAACCACTGAAATGGCTTTATAGTGTGACTTTTAGTTCCATCAGTCTGTTTGCTTCATTCTTTTAATATTATAAAAGCAGAGAGTTCATCTACAAAAATGGATGAACTGCAAAAATCACCTACAAAGGAAAGTATGAAAACTTCTGCATCTAAAGTGCTAATTTTTTTTAAAAAAAAAAAATAGAAATGAGAGAATCAGTCTAGGAAGCAGAGACCTGGAGCTGATGACTGAGGACCAAGAATGTGGATGTTTTTATTTACCTCCAAGATATGAATGAGACACATATCTCTGGGATTTTATTATATTCCTATGCAAAGATTTCATACTACGGATTAAAGAAACTGGAGAGGGCATAGTTGTGATAAGTGTAGAGATGTTATTTAATCAAATAAGACAAGACCTGGTGCTTTGCACTATAAATAAATACTGCACATTACTATAGTATTAAATTAATGAAGTACGCATTGAATATAAAAACAAACAAAATAGCTTGATAACATCCAATTACTTTTGCCATTTGTTTTTGCCTTTTGATTTTTTATTTTACAAGCAACAATATTGTATGTACTTATAGAGGGAGCTGGAATAAAACAAATCCTTGTCTTTGATCTTAAATGTGTATCTGGTCAATTTTAACGGACAAACACCACATTCCTTATTAAAAATCATTAGCAGCTTGCATGTTGCACACCATCAATACTTTTCTACATTGTGCTAGTGTTACCATTAATGTCCAGCTAAAAGGATGTGGATTGATTTAGATAAGGCCACACTTAGAGCAGATCAATCTAAATAAATGGGAATTAAACTAGGCTGTAGCTTTTTTTGAAGTATAACTTTATTTCAATAAATTAAGCGCGGCTGTAGCTTTTTTGAAATGTAACTTTATTTCTGACCATAAAAGCAAAATTTTATTTATTTATTTAATATGAACGCTACCCAATTCCAAGTGCTTCTGGATGGCTCACAGCATAAAAATAAACCACAAACACAGTTTGTAGGTTGAATTTACAATTAGCTGAATTTACAACAGACCCCCCCCAAATATTTATGACCCATTTCCTAGTTATGGCCATTGCAGAACCCTTACAATCTTTTCCCTTATGACCAACTAAAGTCCCTCCACCTATCTCCCCCCACCATCCTTCCCCGCTAGGTCCCCGCAAACCTTGGATCTGCTTTCCCACACACACTGGGTCCCTGCAGGGCCTGGGCCTCCTCCCCTCCCCTGTCACTCATCACACAGTTACCTTTTGAAGATCTCCAGAGCTCCGGACCTCACTTTGAGGAAGGAGGGCAGGCCATTCTGTCCCTCAGTGTTCCTACCATGTTGAAATTGCAGTCCAGGGATGCTGAGGGTCAGAGTGGCCTGCCCCCCTTCCCCAACGTGAGCTCCAGAGCTCCAGAGAGCACCAAAAGTTAAGTGCATGATGAGTGATGAGGGTGGGGAGGAGGTCTAAGCCTTGTGGGGATTCGGTGTTGGGGGGAGAAAGGCCTGTGGGGACCCTGTGGGGAGAAAGAGACCTCCAGAGACCTAATGGGAGAGAAAGGTCTGTGGGAACCAGTGGGGGAGAGAGAAAACAGGCCCCAAAGCTGTGGGGATCCCAAGGAGAGGGAACCAAAACACAGGGTATCTCAGGGGGAGATGGACATGGGAGGCCTGGGGCAGGCAGGCCTGGGTTTGCACTAGGTCTCCCAGGGCCTCTCCTGCCCCCAAGGTATTCTATGTTCTGTTTACAAATGCATCAGGGTGAGCAAGTGATATCGCTTAATGACCATCTGCATGCAACTGTAATGGGCAGGCTCCATTACGGTTGCAGGCTGAGCACTACCAGTATACAAAAAGCATATGTCAACAAGATGGAAGAAGTGGTCAACAAAACAAATATATTATTTGCTCACAAGTGTCTAAATCCTTCTAGCCCAATGCCTGAGAGAACAGTCTGTCTTTGAGGTCCTCCAGAATGCCATCAGTGTGGGAGCTACCCAGTTCTTAAAGGACCCTCTTTCCAGAGAGTTAGGTGCCTTGACAGAGAAGAAATGCTTCTGGGTTCCTGAAAGGTGGCACTGCTTGGTTGAAAGAACCTGGAATTCATCATCTCTGTTGTATTAAACTGGTCAAGCTGATGCCATGGAAGATGAATGATCTCTAAAGTAAACAAGCCCTATGCCATGTAGACCTTGATAGGTTGTAACCAGCACCCTGAAGATGATTTATTTTCAGCCACACAGCATGAGAATGGATTTATATTAGACTGTTAAAATTCCTATTTCAGTTTCCTATAAATATGCTGAGAGAAGCACATCAAGTAACCATGCAGGTTTTTTGGCTGTGTTATGTATTGTAAATGATCTGTTATTGCTTTTTTTGCAGGATGCTTTTCAGCTTCTCACTTTAGCTTACAAACCTTGTATTGGTCTCCCATCCAAACATGCACTACATCAGATCCTGATTAACTGCTAGCGTGAACAAAGACAGCACAGTGTGCCATCTACTTTAGGTTAATGGAATACAGGAATATCCATTCACACTCAAGAACATGATTGTTTCAGACTTTATTTTTTGGGATTGTGCATCCAAAAGATTTTTAACACTCTGCACAAAACAACAACAATAACAACCCTGAAAAACATTGGGTGAATACCACATCAAAAAAGCACTGATAATTTTATTATGGTATTTTTCAAGGA